TAACTGTTTTTCCCTTGTTCCCCTGGTAAATGCACAAGTTGAAGAGTGCTGTAGCTGCATCCTTTTTGCCCCTTCGCGTGCCTTCACTTAGCAGTGTCACTAACGGAGGGATTGCTCCCGAGGCACCGATTGCCACCTTATTTTCATCCACGACCGAAAGGCTGAAGAGGGTGGCTGCTGCATTCTCTCTAGCTTCCATACTCCCCTTCTTAAGCACCTCGACAACACCAGGAATAGCTCCAAATGATACGATACTTCCTCTGTTAACTCCACAAATGGAAAGGTTAAGAAGTGCTGTTACAGCATGTTCTTGGGTGCGTGAGTCAGGTGTTGAAAGGAGGCTCACAAGGAGGTATAGCCCCAGCTTCAGCAATGGCTACACGGTTATCTGCATTGCGTTTAGAAATAAGACGGATTTCACCTGCAGCCATTCTTTGGTCTTCAGGATTGCTGGAAGTGAGCTTATGGAGGAGAATTTCAATTTTGGCTCGTTCAGCAGGTGAGAAGGCAGATGTGGTTTTACTAGGTCGGGAACTACTGGGTCTTTTGGGTGGTTCGATTCCATTTGCCTCACACCATTGATCTATTAGACTACGCAATGCATAATTGGAAGTAAGAGTAGTGTTACTAAGAGTCTGTTGCGTCTTTGGACATGTTCCATGCCCTTGCTCCAGCCATTTCTCAATGCAAGATCGTTCATAAGTCTACAGAAGAGAGTAATAAAACCTGTTAAAAATATAGTATGAAGATCAACATAAACAAGACTTCAGCCTTTGCATACATGAGCAGCTCTCATAAAACGTATAACAAAATGCAAGGCTATTATAAACATCTTTCATTCAGCACCCAATTTATGTGCCAACCTCAAGTGTAGCTACTCCAAGCAAATTTAAATAGAGAATCACTTTATGATTAGGACCATTTTAGAATGAACTTTTGGCCAAATAGAATATTGGCATAACAACATGATACAATGAAACAAGCGAGATCAATAACCAAGCAAATATATCAAGCAATATTGAACATTCAAAGCAATCTAACTATAGGAGGGGCATGTGGTTTTCAAGACTGAAGTGTTAATATAAAACAAAAGAAATCTAAAATAAATATACCTGCCCTGTTGAAACAATGACAGGATCCTTCATCAGCTCAAGGGATATTGGACAGCGGAAATCATCTGGTATAACTGGGGTCTTGTGGTTTCGGTCAGTGGTTGTTTGCCCACTGCCATTCTTTTCTCTTGCAGGAGCGTCCAAGTTGGGATTTTCTGTCTGTACGAAATCCTTGATTTTCTTTAGCAAATTTGACATTTTCTCAAATATTGCACCGGGATCTCCACCACTCAGAGAAACCATCTCATGTAGAGCTAGTGATTCTTGTGTGAGTTCAGCTATTCCCACTAATTGTAACTTCTCAGCCAATCTCCTTAGTATATCTGGATCTGCTGCTGCATCATTACTCTTGTTGTACAGTGACAACAGATCATCATAGAGCTCAACATCAGGTGCATCAACCCTTCCTTTAGCTCTTCTGAACTGAGCTAGAACAAGCTCAACCTGAAAATAAAAATATTATATTGTGATTGCTTGATGGCACTGTATTCCATGTTGAAGATGACTGTGATTCAAATAATCATCTTTGGGCAACACAAAAAGGGGTTAATACAACATAGCATGAGAAGAAAGGTAACATGTAATTCTTCCAAGTATATGTCTAGTGATAGATCTGTACCTGTTCCTTAACTTCATCTAATATGTCAAGATTCTCATAAGAAATTCTACTCAAAGCCTGTTCCAATCGAGCTGTCACTTCATGGAATTTGTGCATAATCTGCTCCCTTTCTAGAACCTGCAAGTAGAACAAAAATAGTTTATCAGTCAGCAGCAAAGAATCCAAACCATAAACCATGCACATCCATGGCTTAGAGCCGCTTGGCGCGCTTCTTTACTGCCAAGTTCAAAGTGAGTGGCATAAGGTGAACTTCGTTTGTTAACTTCAACATCAAAACACCAAAATCGATGTCTGTGACAAACCAACACAATTGTTGACACAGAAATGCACGGGAAGGAATACAAAGAAACAAACCCGAACAGAAATTCCATATAAGGGTATTCCAAGTGAAATTGATCTCCCCTCCCCTCAAGTTGTAAGAAAGGATACATATCATCAAGAAAACCCACAACAAAACCAATGAATATGGCAACCGAATAAAGTATAATCAATCTAGAAAGTGCTCGGAAAAATATCATCAAGCCTAGGAACTTGGGAACTATTCATAGAGAATACTACTAACCACCTCATCCCCTTCCCTTCATCTCTAACTTCAACTCCTCCTCTGCTCCAATTTTACAACCAAAAAGATCCTCCAATCAAAGACCAGAAACAGAACAACCAGAATCTACGTGATATGGACGAAACAAAAAATATATCCATTTTTAGAATGAAAGAGTCAAATATTGTCCAGTTTTTACCTTAAATTTCAAAGGCTTCCAATTACAATTAGGATGATGACACCAGTTATTTTAAAAACCTCATGTACAAGAAGATTAACGGATGCAGAATTGAGCTTGTAAAACATAACAAGAGACAAGGAACGAAAATTATAAAAGAAATTCTCATAGTAGTTACTTCAAGGTGCAAAAAAAGAATATGTTGGCATGCTTTTTTCTAGTTTTAAATATTAATTAATCCAGGAAATAAATGGATCGCATCTATTTCCTTTTTCAATTAAAAGAAAATGCAACACTGAATACCATACAAAAGTTTCAGATTCTATTCACCTTCCACTAGATTGAACTGAAATTTTAGTATGATATTTAATATTTATCAGCTAATTTAAGGTAGCGTTAATGCAATAAATATTCTGATGTGTCCACGCACATACCAAGCTAAGTTTCCTCCACTTTCTCAGCAACCAAACAGTTCCAAAAGGGAAAGGGAAAAAATCGTAAAAAAATTACTCACGCACCAGGTAAATCTTGCTGCCTTCACTGCCGAATCTGAGCAACTCCTTAGCCGAAACCAGAGCCTCTTTCAACGATGCCAAAGCCTTTACCGTTTCTTCAGGGATTTGTTCTTTGCTTTCTCTAATCTCCTCAAACATCGACGTCAGCATCTTCAGCCTCCTGGCGAGATTGCAATACTCCTTCTTCACGGCGCAACTATAGTCGCCGATTGAAGCTATTTGGTTCACAGCATCGATCAAGCTCTGTACCAGCGCTCCTTTCTCTTCTTCCATTCCGAAACCAGATATCATTAAACGTGAAAAGGGCTTTGATATCAGTGGAGGTTGAGCATAAGTTTTGGAAAGCTAAAATGATGAAAAATCGTCTCCATTAGAGAAGAGTAAAATTGCAGAAAGACTGGTTAGACTTTTTCTTCCTCGGGTCGGCTTAGTGTGCTGAACCGGACCGGGTAAAAAGAGGAGACTGACAGTCTGATCCATTGTGTACGACTCTACGCGCAGGGTTCGGCTCGGCTCGGCTCAGCTGAGGCTGGGAATGGGTTTGTTAATTTTTCTGTTACACTAACGCCGGCTTGCGAGTCTGTGTAGTGTAGCTGTCATTGAACTGTAGTTGAATTGCACTTAAATGTTGGCGGGGCCCATTTCTATGTATCTTCCTATTTTAGCGTAATGTGCGCTTTTTTTCCCTTTGGTAGCAGTTGGATTTATTATTTTATTAATAAAATAATAGAATAAATTAGAATTATAATACACTTAAATATATAGAGAAAATAGAGACAATAATCATACAAAAATCATATTAAATATAAATATATGAATAAAAATGAAATATTATCTTGAGAATGAAGATCAACGTCAAAAAAATTTAATATTTTTTATAAAAATTCACAACATCTCTAAAATGAAATATTTTACGAAGTGACAAAGAAATTTGAGCGAACCTATTCAATTTTGATTTTATTAGTAAATTACTTTTTACCAAAGAAGATATTTGACTATACGTGATTATTGACAAATCAATCATAAAATAAATGTCGTGAGAATATTTGTATGAGCACCAAAATGATTGCAAAATTATACGAAAAACGTACTTAAAATTATAAGAATAATGTCACAAGAACATATAAAATGTGTGTCACAATAGACGAAAAAAATGTGTAAGAAAAATATAGATTCTTATTCAAAATTAAAAAAAAATAAGAAAACAAAAAATATGTTATGAAAAATAAGAGAGGAGGTTTTTTATTGAGAGAAAACATAGATTAAAAATACATTTTTAAGCTTAACATTTTACAAGCATGGGAGAATAGAACTAGTCCTTAATACGGACTCGATAGGTGATGCAGGCGGCGGAGTGAGCCGTCGTGGTGGCTGTTTGGGAAGATCAACCGTCACTTCTTTCTTACATGACAGCGTTTTGATGTAGTGGCTCATCTCTTCGGCTCGGTTCAGTTCAGCTGGTCTTCAAAATTCGAGCCGCTCTACCAAGATGTAGTTGAAGCCAAAAAAATATTATAAAAAAAGTCAATGTCCATGTCCTTTGGGTGGGGTCTCATTTGATAAGTGGGTTCTGGAGGGAAACCAACATTCTACTGTACTACAAGTGGCACGATCAGGACTTAATAACGAATCACTGTCGTCCATTTTTGATCGCCTGATCCTGTATATCTAACCAGAGGTTTTACTGTAAACTATTTTTTCTGTTATTTATAATCTAATATATAATTCCTAACTTGAATTTTACCATTTTTATGGTGATGTATGTGTTTTTATCCAATATAGTATTTTGAGTGCGACAAAATTTGATAGTTTTTTTTAATGTGATTATGTTTTCATCCAATATGATACTTAAATTTAATAAATAATTTTTACGTGTTTAAATTTAATGTATACGATTGAAGCGATATCATCACCCGCATTGAAGCTTCCTTGGAGGGTGTGGGGACAAGCTTTTGCTGGAGTTTTTCTCAGTAATCTATCTAATCACACGCTTTGATCCCTTCACTTAGAAGCGAAGTAACAGTCGCAGGAAGAAATGCGGATATCATTTATACTAGCAAAGGCTTGTCTTGGGACAAGTATGTGGTGTTATTGAGCTGAAGTACATTCACTCCATGGCTCTAGTAAGAATATTATCGTTGTGGACAAGTGTGTGAATATTATCGTTTCAGCCATCAACAAAGCGAATCGGAGACTGAAACAAAAAACGCTCGTCTCTGGAAATAAACAATGTGAAACCAATAATATAACTTAATTATCAAATTCTTCGACTTGGAATTCCAATTCTAAAGTTATTTGATTATATATTTTCTGAATTTGACTTTTTCCACAGCTTTTGAAACCACCCAAATGAATTTGACCCGAACCATCACCCTTTATTACTTTCTGCTTCACATCTCTTAATTTTTTTTCTTCTGAGGAGGCTAAAAATCCATTATCAATTTAGTTAGGTATTACCATAAATTTATTCTTAATTTTTTAAATTAAAATTTATTTTTAAAAAATATAATTTTTATATAAAATACTGACTAAAATATTAATCTAAATAGTCCAACTTTTAGTGGGCTCATAAACTTTCACTTTCTTGGTTAGTGGGTTCATCCATCATTGAAATGACGACCACCATAAATTTCCTTTTTCCTTGGTTTTTTTTTTCGGATCAGATCTGAAATTTGGTCTTTGATTCATGTTTCAACTTTCACAGAGGTGGAGAAGCTGCGGCAATTATATGATCAAAGGAAGATGTTAGCTTCGTCGAAATCGGTTGGTCGTTATACAATTTCATGCATCTCCGTTTTGCTTACTTAGTTTTCTCTCGTTTTGGTTCCTCTCTTCTTCTCATCTTCTCCGCTTTTCATTCAACTTACACTCTCTGGTCTTTTCAATCCAAAAAAATATGCCAAACTATTCAAAATTCTCGTTTTTCTGAAGTTCAATTAATACGCATCTTTCTTTTCTGTGCAGCTTTAATTTTGTTTATAGTTTTGGGATCTGGAGGGTGGTGTAGACGCGTCCTTGGATTCCGTGCATCTGCTCCGGCTTTTGTTTTCTTCAGTGTATTTTTTGTTTGGGGTGTTTATCTTGCTATTGTTCGAAAAGGTACCCTTGCTGCCCTCACTTTTTGAAGCTAAATTTGATCGCATGATCTCTTTTATTGCATCACCAATTTTTTTTGGGGGGAAATTATAGATCTATTGGCATAAGTGTAATCTCAATTGCTTAGCATCTGTTTTCATTATTTGAAATCTTGGATGAAGTTTAGCTCACTACAATATGGTGTCATTTCAGTAGTTAATAATGATATTTTGGATATTTTCCAGTAATTTGATTGTCAAAATTGGAATGAGGAAATTAATTTCCTTTTATTTTAAAACAACCTATTATTTGTTTTATTTTTGCAGCGAATGGAGAGATGATTATGCTCATCATTGGTCTATGTAGGTTGTTTCTCTTTGCCTTATTTAGTCATTTGCAACAGTCATAACTTGCTTAGTCGCATAGAAAATTTGTTCGACTAACTTTTTTTATCATTGATAAAACCCGCTAATTATGTTATTTCCAATGACAGGATCATGATAAAGGATCCTGGTTTTGTGGCACACGAGTCCTGTTTGGATGAACTTGACGAAAATTCTGTTCTTGGTGTTCAAACTCTCAATGAGGTTGTCCGTTTTCCTTTTTTTTTTTATTTCATGTGATTTGATTTGATTCGATTCATGAAGAAATAACAGTAGTAACATTCACATTGCTTGAAAAAAAGCTTGAAGTAACTGATTAGGGGTCTCTAATTTCTTAAAGTTGCAAGATGTATTTACCAAGTAAAGTTTGTTTGAAATGTGCAATCTCTCCTATTGGGTTCTATCAATGAATTTAAGACTGATAGTTTCCGGTCAACCTCATTCAAAATTTTGTTTCTAATTGGTCCCACCATGTCTTTGTTTCCTTTAAATTTTATTGATTTATTTGTTTATTCTCTTCCAGGGTTCTCTTTTACAAATGAGAGTACGATACTGTAAGAGCTGCAAGACATGCGTTCAGGGTTTTGACCACCACTGCCCTGCTTTTGGAAACTGTATTGGTACGAAAATTCAATATGTTTTTGGCAGTATATTTTTTAAAAATTTATTTGATTTCTCTATACCTTCTTAACCTGTTCTTCCAATGTAAATTATCCTTTGTTTATAAGATTATTCCTAACTAAATATAATCCTCCTTAGTGGTTAATGATTATTTTTGTTTCATCATGCAGGTCAGAAAAATTATTTAATCTTTATTGTTCTTCTGGTTGGATTTATTACTGCTGAAATTTCTTACGTAGTATGCTCCTCCCAGTGTAAGAATAAGCTTGAAGATACCTGAATTCTTAATCTACTAGCTTTAGTCTTGACTTACGAAACACTGATTCATTTGGATTCGTAGCTTTTGCCTACTTTACTCAAGTCATTTACTTTCTTAAGCACATGTTTATTTGCAGTTGCCTCAAAATTTCAAGTTTTAAAAGAAATTAGAATGGGGGTAAGTCATTGCTTTAATAGTTTATCTAATATATTTCCATCAGTTATCGGTGCTTATATATTGATGTTTCCCCCTTTTCTGCATGTTTTGGGTATAGACTGGTTCCATTTTGGTAATGGCAAGAAGCACATTGCTTTTTTGTGTTCTACAAGTGCTGTGGCAGGTTTGTATTGTTGGACTTCTAATTTTGTTCTTTTTTATGGATCCTCTAGGTGTATCTGTTGATATTTATTTCCCTGTTAAAGTCTATCACTTAAGAATTTTATCTCTTTGCAGGGGCTATTTCTGATATGGAATGTCTATTGCATATGTTTCAATATCAGAGCTGAAGAGTGGGTAAGTTCCCTGCTAGACCATGGATAAACTATTTTTTTAAAATGGACATATTTTCAAGTTTGCATTGTTAGAAATAGTTTATTTAATCTGCAATAAACGTAATAAGAGAAAAATGAGAAATGATGTGCAGGTAAACTGGAAGAAGTATCCAGAGTTCCAACTTAATGTTTCATCTTTACCAGGTGACATTTTTATTAGAACAATTCTTATTTCTGGATATCCATGTTTTATAATGTTCTCTCTCTCTCTCATTTTTATTCAATTGTCTGCATCCAGGAGAGAACTTTCATGAGATGAGGTTTAAAAATCCATATAATAAAGGATTCCTGAGAAATGTCAAGGAGTTCTTAACGTTGAAATGATGGAAGTCTTGCTGCTCATCTTGCTTCTGGTGCAAACCCTGGTTGTTTTGCCTCTCTCATGCTTAGCTCCAGTTTTCCTTGGCGACAGTTTTGACTTCTCAAACACGAGTGCATACTGCAAAGTTTCGATATTTGGTTTTTCAGGACATGCCTCTAGAAGGTCAATTAGAGGGTGCTGATTAGTGTGCAGCATTTTTGGTGCATGGCAGGTACGTGTCTCGTTTATTGTGGTTAGATATTCTTCAATCTTGGCCATTTATTGGAAAAAAAGTTGAACTGGCAATTTTAACCACCAATTGAGAAAAAAAGTTTCGATATTCTCGTTTATTGTGTTTAGAGAAAATGATTACAGTTAATTACCACGAGATAGAATAGTATAAAGGGGAATTAAGGATTTTATAATTACTATTCCCCTTGTGTCATTTTTTACTGTTTCATTCGAGAAAAATGGGTGAAAGTGAGTTGTTTGCTATAGCTAGGCTATTTTCTGTTATCATCAACAACCATAATGGATTAATGGCCTTTTAAGATCGAATCTGGCAAAGTGCTGGTCATATTCAGCCTGTTGTAGCAGAACTGGCCGAATCTGACTCAACCATGGCCCAACTTTTTGTTGCTGGCTTTGGCAATAGCCTTGTTGGACATTGCTTGTCATGGCTAGATATGGTGATGGGATTTATATCGGTTAATGTGATTCCCGTTTCAATAATTTCAAATGTTAATTGTGAAATATTAAATTTCATAGTTGGAAGTAATATGTTATTGGTGGTCCGTTGCCCCAACTATTTTTAGCATACGACCACCTAATTTCTTGGTCTGTCTAACACCCTCCCCGTAATTAGTCAGTCCTTTCCCTCCATTAACAGCTAAGATTAGAATCACAATATGTAATGACCATAACTGAGTAGCATATATGAATATAGGGACAGCAGAATTACATGTGCGGGATACCGATCCAACTGAAGAAACTAGCTTCGTCAATGTTCATGGCTTCCCTTTGGATCACATAAAACAATACAGAAACTGAAGCATTGTATTGAAGTTCCAATGCCACTATGAGAGATCAAGAAAACACAAGATGCTTTAATTTTTGTTCCTTTTTCTTTTTTGAGTAAAATGCTATTAGCTTTAACATTAAATTATGAAGATGAAAGATTTGATATTACTTGATAGAAACTTACCTATGCAAGATGTTGGCTGTAGAAATAGTTTGTTCCTGCACTGTTTCTTTGAATTCGGTTTGTGAAATTGTATTTGCCAATCTCTCTCCACCATCCTAACGAACCACCATGGTCTTCTATTGTGGAAACAATATAACCAAGATTCAGTCATAGCACCACTCCACATCCATATCCCATCATTGCACATGTAATTGTCTTTTTTCTTTTGCCTTCAAAAGACTATTGTATTTGCAATGATGGGATTTGGATGTAGAATGGAGTTAGGATTGAATTTGGGTTATATTGTTTTTACAACAGGAAAACTATCGTGGTTTGTTAGAATGGTTGGGAGAGATTGATAATACAATATAACAAATTGAATCCAAAGAAACAGAGCAAGAATAAACTAGTTTTGTATCTAACATCTTGTTTAGGTAAGTCTCTAGCAAGTATATCTAAAGTTTCATCTTCTTAATATAATATTTAAGCTAAATCAAATGTTTGTTTAAAGAACCTTATATTGACGTGGTAACATAATTTTTTTAGACAATTTTCCCTCCTTTTTCTTCCCGAAATATCCATATTGACTATGGAATAATATTAAATTCAAAATTTTGAGATCCACTATGGGTCAAGAATGTTCATGTTGTCTTAGTGTGGATTTGAATTCTGACATTTGTTCCGAATATGTAATACTTTTCTACTTGATCGGAAAAAAATTAGTCGGGTTTTTAGATCATCTTTTGGCATGTAGTATACTTGTTTAAAAAATGATTCCACTTTGAGAATTTGGGTTTCCGAATTTGAAAATGTTTTTTTTTTTATCATTGATGACTCCAAATTTCAAAACTTAAATGGATACAATTAAAATGTACAAAGTCCAAGTAATAAAATATATATGTCGACCAAAGTATGCTTAATCGTGTACGGAACAAACTTCTTAAACAAAAGATTCAGCGGGACAGCACCAGCATTTAGAATCGTATTGATGTCTACTTCTAAGATCCTCTTAGCATGGCCCAACCACTTTCGTGCAAGCCATATCTACTTCTTAACTGGTGCATAGTTTTGCAGTAAAAGAAACTTGAAATCTTAATCATATATCTATTTGATAACGTTGGTATATAATCTCGGCCAGTGAGATCGAAAAGCGTTAGCCATTAACTAAGCAGGTACGTGGAATCTTAGCCTAGAGATCCCCAACAATCTTTGCAACTTGCTTTCAAGTTTGCACGTTGCATCAACGTATTATATTTTAAGCTTATCAATAATAATTAATAAGCCTGAAAATTTCTAAGGTGGTATGGTATGATCAAAGCTTAAACAATCATTACCCCTGTTGCTCAAGTAAATGAAATCGATAATCAAGATAGACGTAGAATTTTATATAAGGAGGTATTACAAAGTTATATTAGAAATTTCAAAGAGTAAAATTAAATAATCAATAAAATACACGAAAAATATAAATAAACTATATGAATATTTAAATTTTTTAGAAATAAGATTGTTTACTTTAGCACTCTCAGTCCGTTCTTGTCATTGATGAGGATTCGGCTTTAAGGTGGAAAGAATTGGCTTGAAATGGAAGTCAAACCAATATAAGGAATTTATTTCCAATGTTAATGCTGCTTTCATTGCATGATCAACGAGATACTTATGGAACTTGGAAGGAATAAAATTTGAAACAACTGGTTTCAGACGATATATATATATATATATATATATATATATATATATATATATATATACTTGATTTTTCAATATTAGGGTTTTTAGGAAGTGGACAGTCAAGTTGCTGATGCAGAACACGTTTATCAAACTTTGTCCATCAATGAGTTCACATTTGGCTAATGACAAACTAATATTAAAATTTTAGTTTAGGGTTTCATAAGTCATACTTGTTGATTTGAACCCAGTAATATGATTTTGGTTTTTATGCATTATTCAAATTCAGGATTTCGTCACATAATTTATTCATCTATTTTTTATAATACTATTAGCTAATTGACACAAATCTTTTAATTAAAAGTAATCAACATCATTAATTTTATAGATTAACTAATGATATTATAAAAGTAGAGGGTAAAACTACACAAAATTAAAATATATGAATCAAATCCAAAATTTCAAGTTTTCAACATGATAGAAAGGATCAAAACCGCACTCTAGTCAAAGTAAAATACTTTATGTTTGAATAGTTAAAAAAATCAACTATTGAACTGGGGTTTAACAACTTTTTGAATTGAAAAAAAAAAATACTAGTCTTGGAGATTGAACTTACACCACCAGCTGTACAACTAGGGATGACAAACAGGCGGGTTGAGTGCGGATACCCCCTCCCCCATCCCCATACCCACCTAATATTTTTCAATCTATCACCCGCCCACCATCCATGATGGGTAAAAAATTTTAAATCCACACCCGCCCACGCGGGTACATTCTCAAATCAATCCCCACACCCACTACTCAACTAGAGATGTACCCGACTAGACTCGCTTGACATCAAACTTAAGTTATACATAAGCAACAAACACATAAATAAAACTAGTACTTACTCATTTTGCCCTAAACTGATATCAAGTAGTCTAAGTTCCATTCCAATCCGAATTTCAGTACGTTTCCACAGTTTCGATAAGTTTTGATATGTTCCAACCAGTATCAATGCATGCAGATTGATATAAGATTTCGACATTTTAACTAAAAAACGAGTATTTTATTATGCAATCCCTTCCAATATCCTAAGACAATGAATCATTTATACCAAAAACACCACAAAATCCAACATCATTTGAAGATCGGCAGAAACATGATAGTAACAAATGAAACTGAGAAATACGTAGATAGGAATGGCAAACGGGCGGGGCGGGTGTAGATACCCCATCCCCCATCCCTATACCCACCTACTATTTTTCAATCCACCACCCGCCCACCACCCATGATGGGTACAAATTTTCAAATCCACACCCGCCCACGCGGGTACATTTTCAAATCCATCCCCACACCCACTACCCACTAGTGACATACCCATCTAGACCCGCCTGACAACAAACTAATGAGATGTTGGAGTTGGTTCCCAGAAAGTTCGTGATGGGGTAGCAGCGCATGCTTCAATTTGTCAGAGGAGTGGCTCTACGAATGTTATGGAAACAGATTATAGGGAGCATGTAGTAACAGAGCTAGATTGTTGTGTTGCTTTCGATGTTAATGCTCATAGTGCGCCTAATATGGGTTTTGAGGGGCTAAAGAACATGGAAACTGCTTCTTTTGATGTTAATGCTTATAGTACGGCTAATTTGTGTTTGGATGGGCAGCATGGGCTAAAGAACATGGAAAGTGACGTGGTTAGTGGGATTATGGGTTTAATCAAAGAGCCGAATATTTTCCTAATTAAATACCAGATTAAAGACTAAATATCCTTAATATTTAGTTAAATTATATGTTATATATTATATAATATTAAAATTTATAAATTAGTCTCTAAAATTACACCTAAATTCATAATGGTCCAAAATTTAATAGATATTTAGCTGGACGGGCGGATGCGGGGTGGGTAATGTCTCAAACCCATTACCCGCCCACCACCCACGACAGGTACCACTTTATAAATCCACACCCGCCCACTACCCGCTAAAATTATACCCATCCCCGCTCCAATTGGAGCGGATGCGGTGCGGAATCCACGAAACCGTACCCGTTTGCCATCCCTATACGTAGAACCCAGACTGTCTTTGAAGATCGGCGCAGTAATGACTAATGAGAGGTTTGAAAGGAAAAAAATTATGCATAAACTTAACTTATCCCTAATATTTGGTTAAATAACCAATTATATCTTATACAATATTAGGATTTATAAATTAGTCTTTAAAATTACACCTAAATTCATAATGGTCCAAAATGTAATGAATATTTAGCTGGGCGGGCGGATGCGGGGCGGGTAAGGTGTCAAACCCATTAAAATTATACCCATCTCTATCCCAATTATATTTTTTATACAGTATTAGGATTTATATCCACTAAAAAACGAGTATTTTATTATGCAATCCCTTCCAATATCCTAAGACAATGAATCATTTATACCAAAAACACCATAAAATCCAACATCATTTGAAGATCGGCAGAAACATGATAGTAACAAATGAAACTGAGAAATACGTAGAACCCATACTGTCTTTGAAGATCGGCGCAGTAATGACTAATGAGAGGTTTGAAAGGAAAAAAAATTATGCATAAACTTAACTTATCCCTAATATTTGGTTAAATAACCAGTTATATCTTATACAATATTAGGATTTATAAATTAGTCTTTAAAATTACACCTAAATTCATAATGGTCCAAAATGTAACGGATATTTAACTGGACGAGCAAATGCGGAGCGGGTAAGGTGTCAAACCCATTAAAATTATACCCATCCCTGCCCCAATTATATTTTATACAGTATTAGGATTTATATCTACTACCCGCGACGGATACCACTTTCTAAATCTACACCCGCCCACTACCCACTAAAATTATACCCATCCCTACCCCAATTAAAATAAATACGGTACAAAATCCACGAAATTATACCCGTTTACTATCCTTATGTACAACCCTATATGCATAATGTTGTTCATTTTAACTTGCTTATGCATCCTGTTGAAATGGGTTCAGAACTGTAGCAAAAAATGCAAATCAATGGCCCCAAAAGACATACATGCATATGTATGTATCATCAGTGCATGATGGGATATTCCTTAATGTGGATGGAACCCACTAGAATAGTGAAAAGCTGACATTTTCGGATAACTATTTTCAAACCCTTTTTTCCCCTTAATTATTTCAATCTTAATATGAAAACCCCTTTTTTTCTCCTTAATTATTTCAATCTTAATATGAAAAACAGGGCATAATGTAAGAATGTTTCTAATATATGGTGAAATAGTTATTTTTATTTTTTTTAGGATTTTAACTCCTAACGTTCTATTTGAGAACAAAATTCTCATCTATAAATAAAAATAGTTTGTTAACAAATAATATTATAAAATACGAATCTTTTTATCCTAAAATAAAATGTTGAGAGTTAAAATACTCTCGAAAAAAATAAGGGCTAAAGTGATTATTTAGTTAAACATTATGACATTTTTATACTAAAATGAAATACTAGGACCAAAATGTTTTAAAAAATAATCAAAATTAAAATGATTATTTAATCAAATATTAGGAATATTTATAGGTAAAATTGATAGAAAGGTTCTAATTCCAAACTAAGTTTTTTCCCCTTCTAACTTTTGTTCACTTGAGCATGAATCAAGGATGGAAATTGATAACTATTTGACTATTCGTTAATGTGCAGGCTTCATTGACTATCATCTTTGAGTAAAATTTAATTTTTTAAATTAATTTTTTATATATTGAGTTTATATAATTTTATGCACTCTTCGATTGATTAGATGATGGTAGTATATAATTTTAAAATAGATAAACTACATCATATGATATTAAACTATATTCAAATGATTGTTT